TAGAAAAAACAGACAGATGAAAATGGACATGGATCTGTAATAAATATAAACACAGACAAATAGCATCTCTCACTCACCAGATGTGGGCCAGTGTTGTGTTGAGGAGACAACTCTGTAGAAATATACTGCGAATTTCCTCCTCTGATACAAAACCATACAAGTCTGCATCAGCCACATTAAACGTCTGGTCAAACTTCATCTTGTCCACGACCCACTGAAGGGCCAGCTGATGGCAGAGGCATAATACAATAATTAGTAGTCAGCTGATATCAGAGGAATTATACAATAATTAGGGATCAGCTGATAGCAGAGGATTTATACAATTATTAGGGGTCAACTGATAGCAGAGGAATTATACAATAATTTGGGGTCAGCTGATAGCAGAAGAATTATACAATTATTAGGGGTCAACTGATAGCAGAGGAATTATACAATTATTAGGGGTCAACTGATAGCAGAGGAATTATACAATAATTTGGGGTCAGCTGATAGCAGAGGAATTATACAATAATTAGAGATCAACTGATAGCAGAGGAATTATAATATTATTTGTTATCTTTGATTTGTATAGCTTACAGATTTGATCAATTTGATCACTATTTGTTACCTTTGATTTGTATAGTTTACAGGATTGATGTCACAGATCAGTATTTGTTATCTTTGATTTGTATAGTTTACAGCATTGATGTCACAGATCACTATTTGTTGTCTTTGATTTGTATAATTTACAGGATTGATGTCACAGATCACTATTTGTTATCTTTGATTTGTATAGTTTACAGGATTGATGTCACAGATCAGTATTTGTTATCTTTGATTTGTATAGTTTACAGCATTGATGTCACAGATCACTATTTGTTATCTTTGATTTGTATAGTTTACAGGATTGATCAATTTGATCACTATTTGTTACCTTTGATTTGTATAGTTTACAGGATTGATCAATTTGATCACTATTTGTTACCTTTTTATTATATATTCTAAGCTTCCTCTCTGTACTTAATTAAAAATTAATGAAAGCTTCGTTAAATGATTGGCACATTTTATTGACATTGAAGATTTCATAATATTATATATAAATAACTATACATACATGTAAGACTAAAACCCCTCGAGATAAAACTATGATTGCACAAGTGTGATGAGTTTGATTTATCTGTGACCGGTGTAAAAATCAGAAAACTTCATCACACACCAATACAAACCTAAGTTATACTAGCTTACATTCCTTTTCTAAAAATAAATACAATAATAGTTCTAACATATAACTAGAATATTGCACTTTGCAAGGTTTTTGTTGCATTATTACACAGCAGTGGCTGACATCTTTACAAAAACATCAAGGAATGTAACTCATATATCTCCTCAAATTTTTCCTCTAATTTTATGTATTGTAGGAACTAAAACGTGACTTAAGTTGATAATAGCTGTCCTAGTGTTAACAGATTATCAGCAGTGAAGGTTTGTTGTGATGTCACAGGAAGAAATAATCCTGAAGCACTCAAAACCACGCCCCTAAGTGTGAACACCCGTCCATTGCCCACACCCCAATATCATGGTCCCTCATGTTGTAACTTTTGACTTCTCAACTCCAGGCTCCTTTATCATCAAACTGCAACCAGATCAGACAAAAAATTAAGCAGGGCAGATGTAAAAAATAATTGTTATAGGTATTTTTTCATCAAGTGAATTAAAAAATTGACATTTTTAAAATTTTCTTTAAGGAATGACTCTAATTCTTGGCCAAATTATCGAGTATAATATGGTTTGGGTCAGTTTACGCTTTATAATCCGCGAAGCGTAAACTGACCCAAACCATATTATACTCGATAATTTGGCCAAGAATTAGAGTCATTCCTTATAATTTAATTTTAGAATAATTATTCAACTGGGGATGTAAAATTGTGTTGTTTTTATGAGTTCAAATTTACCGCGCAATAACACAACCGTAGTAACGGAAGTGATGGGAAGCGAGGGGAGGTAAAAACTGATACATAAATCTAGCAGCCATCATGCTTGTTTACATGAGGTAAGATCGAGTAACTGTTTGAAATTAAAGGTAAATTCATTAAATCTGGAATTTTCCATGAATCCCAAGGACTGGAAATGAGGGGATTGATGGATACAGATGATTATGCTGGTTGTCAAGGGGGTGTGTCCCCATACCAAACCAGATTATACAAAATGTTATGCGTTCCTTTTTGGATATAAACCAATGAGAGGCAAGAATACAAGCAAAATTAAATTATTTTAAAGAATTATATATAAATCTGTTGAATACCTTGCTTGGACTAAAATCTGCAAAGTTGGCAAAAGCATCATCTGAGGCAGCAGCATTACTTCCTGTGGAGCTGGAGAAAGGGTCATTACCTGACACAGGAAAATAAGCAAGAAATAGTCATATAATCAGCTTAATTTTAAAACAGATTCCTACAGAACTCGGTTTATTTCCTATACAGAGATTAATCTGAAATCCCCACAGAATTTATATCTTGGATCGGGTTGAGATAACTTTTTAAGTTATAATTATTGAGATTATCTGAGATAACTCAATACTAATATAAAAACCTGAGGACTTTAATGTCAGTCAATGTAACCTTCATGTTAAGTATCTTCACTACAAAGTGATAGCCTAAAAAACATTTCATAAATCGATCTACTCTGTAAACTTTATTAATTCATGTAACTTTATGATTCAGGTGCTATTATACATAATACTACAAAGTCAAAGCTTTATGCCCAAACAAAACAAACCTGCAAATGGATCACTGTCAAATCCCCCAAGCTGTTGACTGGGGCTGGGGGTTGGTCTGTTTTGGGGAGGGGCGGGTCTTGGGGGAGGCTGTTTCTTCTGTTTGGGGGGGGGCAAAGCTGGGGCTGGTGACTTGGGTCCCAGAGAAGGCCGAGAAGAGGATTTTGGTGCAAAAGGGTCACCACCAAATAGATTGTCTGGTTTCTGTAAAGAAACAAAAGATGTCATAACTCACCTTACAAAAACGTTTTCATCAGCACTTTATAAAATTATTTATTTGTACTAATATCCTTTGTTTTTGATTGCCTTGCTAAGGAAACAAACACCAAGATAATATTCATTAAACTCGGTGTCTTACACTTGGTTTTGTGCTGGATCCTCCTTTCCCAAAAGGATCAAAAGCATCTAGTTTGGAATTATCTGTACCTCCAAATGATGCAAAAGGGTCCACGCTATTAAACGGATCCTCCTATAAAACACATAACTTCAATGATGGCACTTGATATATATCTTATCAATAACTGTTGGTCCCCTTTTTTAAATAAATTTATGAAAAAGTAGTTTAGTTGACTTAATTAAATATTTTTCTTTTCCTCCTCATGTTTGATAATACAGTGAATCTACTGAGGATACCTGCTATCCAGGTGATTATTTGCTGTCGCAGCAATATTTATTTTTTATGAATAAAATTCATGTTAAGGAAGAAGCAAAGGGGGAAAAGGAAAACAACATGCAGGCTCCGGGGCCATAAAACTTAGACGAGCTCATTTTTATCTCAGTCTCACTTTTTCAAAAGGGATTGATAGTGGAAAAGTGAGACTTAAATCAAAATTGAGCCAGATATTTATGTGCCTGTATCTGGAGGTTTGTGATAAAGTGAACGTGAAAGTACTAACCTTACCAGACTTGGAGGAACTCTCAAATGTGTCGGAGGATTTAAACGGATCATCAGACGAGAATGGATCAGAACCAAACGAAGATTTGAACGGATCACCACCTACAATACAGGAATAAAGATTGTGTATTTTGTGATGAAATTTAGGATTTGGGTTCAGGAAATTTACTTTCTTTACATTCAAATATTTATAACACATTTTATTAGCCATTCTCTGTAACCACTTAAACTTCGTTGCCACGCATGGTCACCGATTTTGATGAAACTTCACCCATGCTTAGTACTTGACACCAGAAACAAATATCAAACAAAATTTCGTTGCTATGTGTCTCGGTTGCTATGGCAACAGCCAGAAAAGTTTGAAAAATCGAGATTTTCAGCCAATTTAAATCTTGACTGTGGCTTAACAAAAACTAGAAAACGCAAACAAACCATTCTCACAAAAATATGACACCCTGATGTCACTTATACTGTAAAGAAACTGTTTAGAATATATCTCTAAGTAAGTGGTAACCAAGGGTACATTTGGAATACATTTAAAATGCTGAAATATGCTGAAAAACACTCCGTATTCACTAATGGTAGGTGTTACATGCTCAAACTCAATCAACGACTTAAGAAAAACAATGAAAATGTTTGACCTTAAGTATATAAGTATAAGCAATATTATTCTATAAATAACTTTTATGGTTGCCATGGTAACACAATGTAACCATGCAAAACCAGTAACTAAGATTGGGTTAATGCTACTGTCTTGAGGAAAAACATGAAAATTCAAGACTTGCAAATATGCATCCTTAGGACCTTGCAACACCAAAAACATAAGAAAAATTGGGTATAATTGCTACTTTGCAGTTTTACCATGGAAACAAAGTACCAGTGTTTCAAGGTGAATTATTTTTCGCTGCATTAAGAATTCAATTGCCATTTAATCAAGAAACAAATTAAAGGACTCAGCTTGAATAGTACTTATCTGTTAGAACTGAAGTTGAATATCATATATTGATAAAATTTGATGAATAAAACAACACTGTTGCTATGATTACCAAGAATGGAAAATGTTCGATTTTGTGCATTTTATATCATTACAATATTAAAACCCTGTATGCCAACTTCTTGCATCCACTTAGAAATTTGATGATAGTCAAAATTAAAAGTCAAGTTAGCTGTTAATAAATATCAATCATAAAAGTTTTGGGAATCTACATTTAAGGGTACGTATCCAAGGAAAGAAAATATTTTTCAGGTTTTTAAGCATATATTTTCTGCTTATTTCCATAGCAACGCTCTATTTAAAGAATCTAATCTGGATTTTTTCAAATGGGAAAACTTGGAGCACACCAACATCTTATAAAATTGATCATTAGATATGAGGAAATGTGCTTTTTTAAAAGATAGGATCAGATTTAAGCATACAGAGTGTTACTTTGAAGGCTCTCTGTGGTATAAAAACCTTGGCAACCATTGCCAACCAAAATAAAATATCATATTTTGTTCTTGGTATATGTTTCAAGGCTCTTTTTTCTATTATTTGGTCACCTTTCATCCTATAATTGCTTTTTATTTTTACCTGTATAACTGTATAAAATTCAATGAATATTTTTTTTTTACTTTTGAATACTTTGTTACCATAGTAACATATGTAATAGTTGATTTACCAAACATGATTATCGTGCATTTGAGACATCTGACCTTCAACTTTTGGAAACAGTCATTGCCAATTGTTTGCTTTGCCGCAAATGTTAACTATGGGGCTCTAAACATGTTAAACAATGCCATTTTTCGAACTTTAAGACATGTTGCCATGGTAACTATAAAACATAGCAACCAATTTTTGCCTGATTTAGGTTTAGGGTATCAATGACTTTTATCATAGAGAGTTTGGAGAAATTCTGAGACTATGCGTTCAAAAATATGAATTCAATGCTTAAATAGACCAAAAAAATCTTGTGCCTCCAAAATAACGATACCTGTTTGTCCATCATAAAATAAGTACTGTAGGTATAAAATAAAGGTATTAATTAGATGAGATTGTGGTAAAAAATTATCTTGTTTTAAGTCATTGTCTATTATACCGACATTTTGAAAATTTTTGTCGTTTGACTCAATTTTGCATTTTTCCGAGGACACATGTAACTAAGCACAAGTAGCACGCTAAAAAAAACTTACACACAAACACCCTCCCTCACAAACATAAGATGACGATAAAGCGCATTAGAGAGCAGTTCCTGTAATTTAGTAATAATGTCTTTAAAGACTTTAAATGGTATAGGATATTTAAAAAACACTATACAGATTTACTTAAATGGTCTATTTCAAGAGGAAATTTTTTCATGGAGTCCCCTTATAGAACAAAATTTATGGACCAGTAGCACCTGCAACTTGCAATAGCAAAAACACTTCAGACTTCCTAAACTACAAATTTTCAGAAGATTCAATATTTCTGTGAGTGAATCTCTCGCCTGCTTTTTAGAGGAGTAAAGACTTGAGTGTGATTCATCGTGTATTAGTGGAATTCTCGAACTTAATTTAGGATAATCGAAGTGATTTTAGCAAATATAAAACTGATTTAATTAAATGTTTGCATACACCACTTGTCAGAAAATATGTCAACTAATAGAAATGTTGGTGACTCATCTAATTAACTAATTCTACTTTATTGTGTTAATTTTATGACGTAAGTATAAAAAGAATAAAAGATTATCAATGATCAAAAACTGAATGGGAGAGAGAAGCTAACGTTAATAAGTTAACTTTAAAGGATTCCTAGCAGCAAATTAAAGAAAAACTCGAGTTAATTTGCATGGGTTCATTTAGCGGTCACCCGCTCCCCCTTAATGTCCATAACAAAATAGATCGATACATACATACACAGTTGGTTTGCCTAAGCAAAAAATACCAAAAACTATGATATTTATTCTTCGAAGGAATAAATAAAGAGCAAAATTGTCAATGGTAGAGCAAAGAAAAAGGAAAAGAGCAAGGGTCACTTAGGGGCTTTTTTTGGCCCTATGAATTTCTGAAAATTTTAAAATCCTCTATTTTGGTTGGAAATATTGCATTAATTTGTAGGAATCTTGGTGACCATTTCTGTAAAACATGACGTAAAATTCACTCTAGTCAACACATAATGACGTCTCGAAATGCGTATTATTGGCTTATGTTGTAAATTTTTGTAAAATTGGCCAAAATTTTACGTATTTTTTCAACATTTCATATAGAGAACCTCTGATCAAAAATTTGCAAATGCAAAATGAAAGACCTATTTTTGAGGATCATAAAACATGTTTTAATTTTTGGATCGAAGGTTGTGCTTATATTTTATTCTTTGCTGAAGGTAGGCAAATATGGATGTTTTCTGCAAAATTCAAGAAAACCGAAATTTTGCAAAGCCTGTTTTTCAATACCTCTAGTCTCAAAAAAGAAATTATGTAACAGAAAAAAGACAGCACTAAGTTTCTACTCTACTCTAATATATGAAATAGGACAGAGGATGATAGTCAATTAATTGATATAAGGACAGGGTCATTTCATGCACAAGGTGTATCTAGCTCTTTGCATAAAAAAAACCTTAAAGGGGCATGGACACAGTTTAAGCTAAAAATTTTCAAATTTATTTTTTAATTTTTATCAAGATATTAATTTTTCTTACTAATGATCATCAAAAATTTGCACTTCGGTTGTCGAGATACAAGACAGATTTAGAGCTCCAAACCTTCGTTATGTAAACATGGTCCGTTTCATGTTTTGTTTACATAATGTTAATGTACTGATATCACCCCTACTAATGTGTTCGGATGATATTCTTTATCGCTGTTAAGTGTAGCGTAACGTCCGAGTGGTCGATTTGACCTCTAACGAGACCAGCCTCGAGACCATGCGAGATCTGCACCAGTTCCTGTAAGATTTAGACAGGAAGTAGATGTGTGTTTTGGGATTTATGCATTTAACGTAAGTAAAGCTCTTTTTATTTGCCTTCATTCACTTGAACATTTTTTGCACATAAAATCTGATTCAATTATTCTTTATTTCTCGAATTCTATCGCCTCAAACACACGAAACGAGAAACATTAAATCAGGTGCATTTAGAGTTATCGTCCTTTGTTTACATACCTCCACGTGGTTGGAAAAATAAAAATCTTTTGGTGTTATAAAATTATATAGGGCTTGTCAATGTTTTTGAATTAATATACTAAATTATTTATGTTGTTCTTGGTGTTGTGAAATATTTTACCCCAGTATTAAAAGAAGTGAAAATGATTCAATGTGCAGAAAATGTTATAGTCTGTTTTACTTCTTACATAGCAGATACACAATTTCTCAGTTATACTTACATGCAATATACATGTAATAAACGTGTGAAGAAGTGATTACCGGTAATTAAAAGAATATAGAATGAATGTGACATTCAAAAGATTAGAAATGGTAAATAACAATGTAAACAACCCTCAAGTGATCAGCTGGTGATTATTATTCAGGCGCGGATCTAGAAATTTTTCAAGGGCGGGGGGGGGGGTGAAGAAAAGAGTATATATACATTTTAACTTACGATTTACATAAACATGTGCATGTAGTTAAATAACTCACTAGGATATAGGGTGGAGTGTGTTTCTTCAAAAATGGTAGGGTGATCAACCTGTGAAAAAAATACTCGTATCTATAGATTACCTGAATTTATTTTAAAAAGTGAAAAAAAAATCTTTGAACCTGTAAATTCTTCTAAGTAAAGAAGTAGAGTTTCATTTTGTTATCACAACCAAATTTCTTTATATATTACAACATTAGCCTCTCAATGAACATTTTTCTGTAGTACAAACAGAACACTTTAGAAATTTGGGTCTTAATTTCTTTCTCTCTCTTATTTTGCAAATCAAAAGGGGGAGGGAGTGCAGCGTGAGCCAGTCCAAACGCCCCTGATTGGCCCAATAAAAACGTCCCGGTATAATGTCCCCTAATTTTAGTCAAAGCATCCCCTGATTTTAGTCAAAGCACCCCCTAACATATTTTTATAGAAAACACACTGCCACCAAATATATTACTTGAAGATTATTTAAATTTCCTTGATCACAATCTTAGATGACATACAGACACTTAAACTGTAA